TTTTTCGTGTGATGTGATTATTTGAATATATCTGTACCTTGTATAAAAAATGACCAACACCATATCTACTGATTTGTTAAGAGAATTAAATTCCAAGCTTGTAGCCGAGATCACTGAGATTAGAAAGAAATATTCTGAAATTGAGGCTGAAAATGTGAAGCTAAAACAGGTTATAGAAGAGAAAGATTCGTATGCGAAATTAAGAGATATAGAGCTTAATAACAGAATTATAGAATTGGAACGGTCTGCGAAGGAACATGCTGAGATTGCAAGACAAAGTCAGACGGAAAATTCTGAACTTAAGGATAGAGTTGCAAATTTAGAACAGGAGTTTAAGAAGCGAGAATTACAATTATTGGCCTGCTCACCATTACCACCAATTCCCAAACCAGAAAAACGCGAATCTACCCTGATATCTGATAATATTTCAAATTCCGATGTATCCGATAACGCTCCAAATTCTGATGTATATCAAGAGTCTTCGCATATTCGCACAGAGCCCATATCATTAGAAGACAAGAAGATCGATGAATTCCTGGATTCAACATATAAAGAAAAGGTTAGTAACGAGATAATTCAGAGTATTAAGGAGAAGAAGCTTCGAGATCAAGACTTATCTTCAGACAATCTTTCATCAGGAGAGATGGCGCCGGTTCCTTCAACTTCGTTATCCAGAAGTACTGAATTCAGAAAGCCCGAAATTTCAGCCGGGGCGCCCCTGCCGAAAAATACTCATAGGAAAAAAGGGGCAGAAAGTATTTCTCAAATGATATCTGATGGTATTCAAAATGACGCACAGAGACCTACTCTCAGTTCCTCTAATGATATTTTATTACAACGGAGTCAAATTTCTTCTACAGTACCATTGCTTACTTTAGCTCAATTATTTAATAAGGCTACTGATGCTGAATATGGTGCAATTCGTGCGAACCAGGAAGAAATTTTATGTTGGTGTTATTATGGGAAAGAATTTGTAACCCAAGTTAACGAAACTATAAAAAATGGTAAAGTTGGCGAGAAAAAAGCGAAAGGAATTATTTATGATAAAATGTTAGAAGATCTTTCCATTCTCCGTAAAAAGAGATCTGAAGATACAGGTTTACAACTCCCAGAAATTTCACGTAAATACTTGCAAGGGAAAACCCAGAAAGCTGTTAAAATATACAAATTATTTGAAAATTTAGGCATAGATAAAATTAAATATATCACAACTTATAGTGCCAATTCTATCTCGGAGTTAACTAATGATAAAATTTCCGATCGTGAAGATTTTCTTGGCAAATTTCGCTTACGGGCCGTGAGGAAAAACGTGATTTTTTTATTTTGAATATTTCGCATAATTTGTAAAAAAATAATGACAAACACTCACTCCGTTGATTCATTAAGAGAATTAAATGCTAAACTCTTAGCCGAAATTGTAGAGCTTAGAAAGGAGAATGCTGAGATCCCTGATCTTAAAAGGAAGTTAGCCGAGTTTGAATCAGAGAGAGTTGAGCTTAAGGCCAGGCTTTCCGAAGCTCTAAGTCAGGCTGTGGAAGAGAGTAAGAGACGTGATGCTGAGAATGCCGAACTCAAGACTAGAATTGAGGAGTTGGAGAAATGTAAGGTAGATTCTTCAGCCGAGAATGTTAGACGCGATGTTGAGTTTGCTGAGCTAAAGGCCGAAGTAGTGAAACTAGCTGAAGGTGCTCAGGCAAGGGATGGCAATGAGGAGAGCAAACAGCCAATCCAAGATATTTCTCCCGAAGTAATTGTCAATGTACCTAGCACTAATATAGATCAGTGTAGTAAAGGGTTCCAAAGGGACCAGGTCACTTTTCC